GGGGGGGAGGAGGAAGAAGGTGGCTAGGTCGAGGCATGTCCTTACCCTCGCAATACTGATGTTAAGCGAGTTTACGTCACGGAACTAGAAGAGGAAGGTTTAAAAAGTAAAACTTAGGTTGAAAGCTCAGGAGAGATTTCTTCCTAAGCCGTTTGCTCAGTATTTTTGTGAGTAACCAGTTAGTAACCAATTATTGGATGAAGTCGAGCATTATCTTATGAATTATCAATGCCAAGGTCTGAGTTATCTGCCGAAGCCGAAGGCTGAGGCAGGTAACACAAACACGAGGTTTGATAATTCATGACATCATGCGGAAACCGAATTCGATAATTGTGTTAATCGCACACTTTATATCTGCTGCAGATATCAATTAAGTTATCATGACAATTTCACACGCTATTGTTTATCGACTGAATGTCCTCAACCAAACATAGTCAGTATCATAGTAAGACAAAAGTCTATAGTCATTTGTGTTGGTCAATTTTCAGGGAAACTTCGAATTATTGACCAGTTGTTAATTTTCCTCAAAGCAAGGTCAGTTGATAGCCAAACTGCACGTCAACAAGACGAACTAAACAAAACTGAAATCAAAGATACGGATTTATCAAACGACAGTTGTGTATTTTACGACACTCCTAGATTTACGTTTTGGTTACGTTATGTTGCATTGTCGTGTTGTATGTTGTGTATACATTCCGATTTTGTTTCGTTTTTCGTTGTACTAAGCTACTTTACCATTCGTTATATCTCGTTATCTTTTGCCTACTCTCTCTGTTTGCTCTCAAGGGGACACAAGGTTTTGATGTTCTCACAGATGACAAGGATGTTAGATATCATTCAGGACTATCTTGGTTACAGAGGTAAACAAATATACCAACCAATTTTAGTTTAGGAAGACGTAGTGAAATTTTTTTTCCGTGTCCTAAAACCTTCGTTCTACTTCACCCAAGTGATCACTGAAAGATTCATACAAATATAGGAGCACCCAATCACAGGCATTGCAATCCTTGCAAGAATACTTCTCTCGGAGGCTATAGTCACATTTCTGAACGAAAAATTGCTCTCACTTTCTTGTTAGAGCGAAAAATTGCAACCCCCTTCCGATTCCTCTTTATTCTGACCATTCTTATTCCTTCTGGGTAATTATTTCTTTCTTTACTTTTCGTTCTAGTCAAAACAGTATTTTATAAAGTAGTTTTGTCAGTCACTTACAACAAATTAAAATAGATATTAGTGTAATAATACATCATCGTAATTGTCTCAATAACGATTAGGATCCCTCATTTCTATAGGCTATTCCTATGAACGACTGGATGGTTCTGTCCGTGGAGAGGAACGCTATCTTGCCATTCAAAACTTCAACGAAACAGAAGACACTTTTATATTTCTTTTAAGCACGAGAGCTGGTAAGATGAATGTTGATCAGATTTGTGCCCTGAGGTTAATCCAAAGGTCGAGACAGCGAGTGGGATTCGGATCGGAATTGATCACCGTCAAAACGTTGCTAAAATATCATACTTCGTTTTGTAAGTTAAAAATTGAGGCGCAATAGATTAGCCTGGCGTATTTTTGCCTACAATATAAGTGGAACCGAGTGAGAACAAGAACAACAGTTTTTCATCACAAGGGTCCCTAAAGAGTGATCTTTTTCTTTCCATCAAGGTGGCCAGGGCTTGAATCTGATGTCTGCAGATACAGTGATATTTGTAGACAACGACTTCAATCCCCAGAATGATTTGCAAGCGGCGGCAAGAGCGCACCGTATCGGGCAAACTAGGTATGATGACAAGTGTGATCGTAGTAGTAAATGGTGTAGCTGTTGTAGTAATGTAGTCTGTTTATTTGCACCCGAGTTATTCAACCTCGTTCGCAGGGTCTCTCCTCTCCCGCCCCAGGGGGCAGGAAGATGAGAGACCCTGGGAACGAGGTTGCCTGGTTATTGTGTCGTTTTCTTAGTTAATTGAGCAAAAGGGAAACTTGAAAAGACGAGGAACCTATTACGGACAATGAGAGACTAGTATCCCATCCAGGGGAGGGAGCACAACTATTGTTTACTTGTAGCTATGGAAACTGGCATAAGCCCGCCATGAGACTTATGTTTAACTGTGTAACAGCAGTTCAGGACTGAGCAGAAGATTACTTTAGTACTGGGGCAGGAATATTAAAGACTGTTTTTGCTCTCTGCTTCTCTTGGTATCAATAGACCTGTGAAAGTTATACGACTTGTTGCCAGAAGTACAGTTGAAGAAATCGTGTTGAAAAGGGCAGACGACAAGTTGAAGCTAACAAATACAGTTATTGAAGGGGGAAAGGTATCACTGTAATCCTTAGAATGGTATTAATCAGTTGTGTTTCCAGGGCTGTCATTAGAAGCCGGCAGCCGGCGATTATCGCCGGCTACTCTGACGAAAATCGCCGGCTACTTCACTCACGAAATAACATCGAAAGTTTAGATACTGAACAAGTCTGACCAGCATATTCATTTCCTTGGTAGAATTATGAAAAGTAAAATGCCTATCTTGCAAGTTCTCAATCATTTTATTAGGTAGTTTTCACTGAGATTCCCTCATTGTCAGAGAACTAAATAAAAATCTCTCTCCTTTATACTTCATTCTACAAATTCAATAAAATTTGATCAAACTGCCACACCAGGCAACAAACTCGAGTTTATTCATAGCATTTGTAGACAGAACCTTCTCTTATTTTTTTGTTTTCTTTAAATACGATCACAGAGATAAGAGAGACTGCCTTAAAATGTCTCCAGGAAAAGGCTTAAAATGGTATTTGGGCTTGTGTAACCCTGCAGGCATAGGAAGAACTTTCTGCAAATTTAGATTTATTAAATTTTTTGTTCTCGATTGTGATTGTCTTTCTGGTGGGAAAAACCCCTTGAAATTGCTGGAAATGGCATTTGCTTGACCATCGATTTGACAATTTTCTTAGGGGGGGGTGCCCACTATTTTTATCAGCCATCTCAACTGACTAGTCATTAATAGTACTGTTCTTTTCAAGAAGTGAGACTTGCTAGAATTTCTCTGAGGAAAGGCAATTTTTGGTAATGTCAAAATGTTTGACTCATTTTGCTTCCGGGCGCTTTGCCTCCTGGACCCCCAACAGGGCTCTGCCCCTGTACCTCGCTGGGGACCTGGCGGCCCCCAAACCCCTCACCTGTGAGGGGGCCTCCGGCTACTTTCAAAATATCTCCACCTACGTAATAATTTAATAATAATAATTTATTTACTTATATAGCGCCCTTTAACATTAAAGGATGATCAAATCTTATTGACAGCCCTGGTTTCTATGGATTGTGTCTTTATTACTTATTCGTTCGAATGGTTTTGTTTTCAGCCACGATTTACATCGCGTTTGGAAATAAAGTGTCATCAACTCCAAAACTAATGTCGTCGCTTCAAAGGGCTACGTGTTCATTGTTTTTTTTTTTAAGGAAGTATCGTTTAACATATTTTCTTTTCATTTTGAGCGTCGAAAGGTCTTTCTCAATCGGAATAGAACGGAAAAAATAATCTTGAAAAGTTTTGAAACCTCGCGGCTAAACTCGACGGGAAAATTTCACCGATAATAACGTCATTCTGAAACATCTCTATGAGCCATCCATTAATTTTTTTCATAAAATACTAGCCAATCAGAGCGCGCGCTACAATATAGCTATGTTATAATTGATGCTGACTCTTCAGAGTACAGGAATGAAATGGAAAAATAAAAACAAGAAAAAGAGTTAACGACACAGAATGCTATGTGCAGTCACGTAACCTCAGGGCTTAACTTCAGTGAGAAGCACAAGCACGTGGCTAATTTTCATACCTGATTTTTAACTTGGTTTGCCACAGGCATCCCACGTACTAAATGGCCTGAGGTGTTATGACAGGATAACACCTCCCAAGTGATAAATGTGTCTTTCCTCAACACCTGATTGCTTTACATTGCGTTGATATCATAGGGAGAACGTAAATGTCAATCACTTCTTGAAGTTAAAGGGTTAGCTAAGTAATTGTTTCCATATCTTACAGTTTTCAGGTAACGTCTCAGCTTTAAACCAAATTGCCGAGACTCCAACACAGGTAACAAATGCTGTATATTCTTAGTACATGTTAGACATCATTAAGATTCATGCATTGAATTTACACTGGTCAGGACTGTATTATTTCTCACCTTTTTGTATTTAAGCTTCTGCACTGTGTATTTGTAGCTGACAGACTTACTCAAGTACGGCTTGGACAAGTTATTCGACTCAGATGAAAGGTACCGTATTTCATAGCTTTCCAAGGTTTCAAGAACAGATTTTGACAATATAAAAAGATATGGAGAAAGCGGGCAGCCTGGACGCCATGTCGTATTGGAAAATGTCGCTTATCCAGCCGTTGTTTGTGACAAAGCTTTTCATGCTGTTATGAGCTGCAAGTCTGAACCATTGAATAATAAAGGTGCAGAAACCAACAGAAAGAAGTGTTTTTTTGGATAAAGGCAATTGTAGGGTGTTGACGGCTTTTTGAAGATCAAGGCAGAGCAAAAGACCTGTGAAGCTTAACCCTTAAGGGATCTTGTAGATTTCTGTTACAGGCCATAGCTTGCTTAGCCACCCATTATCATATGTGATGCATCGCTGATAGTCTCGCCGAACCGTCCGCCTCAGGTTGGTTCACCTCCAGTCACCTCTGGGAATTTCGTCTCATAGCTTGTATCGTTTTACAGGACTCTTACAGAGGAAGACTTGGAAAAGTAAGTTAAGTCTGTTTAAAAATCGAAACTTACTCCATCAGGGAAAAAACTCCTGGATCATTTCATAATTTTCGGGGGGAAGGGGAGGGGGAGAGGGAGGAGGAGGAGGAGGGGGAGGAGGATGGGAGTAAAAAAGGTGACTGCTGCTTCGAGGAACAGGAGGGTTTGTTTTAGTTTTTGTTTTTGTTTGTTTGTTTGTTTGTTTTTAATAAAGTGTATTTCCTGAATGTAATTTCCGTTTATCGTCACTCAAATAAAGGATGGTAAAATCGCGGCGGTAAGGAAGTAATTGATGAAAAAGTAAGTTGTAGCTACAGAAGATGCACTGAGATCGTACTAACATCATCTACTGTTTGTATCATTGAAGTAAGGCTGTGAATGAATAGAACTGTATGACTGAATAACCTGGTTTGTTTAGGATTCTAGGAGGAAGTTTTAACAATGAGTGGACTGTGGAAGATACAAGAAACCCAAGTAATCTGAATAATGACGACCTGGTTTCATGTATGGAAACGGATGATGGTGAAAAAGGTGGCTAACAACTAGACTTGTACAAAACACAAAAATTGCACTGCTCCAGGAAATGTAATCTAAAGTATGAATTGTGCAAAATGCTATACTTTAACAAGGAAATGGGGCAGGAAAAGAAGGCTTTCATGAACATTTTTTTTAAAAAAGGTCTTGAAAGCAACGAGAAAGGTGCGGCCTTTAAACCCGTTTCTAAACCTAAGCAATAGATGACCCTCTTGGTCTTTCTTTGCGGACATCCCCATAAGGCAATATTGAGAATTTCAAGATATGGGGCAAAATTGATGGATGTCAAATCTGCATCTTCTCCTCTCGGAATTCGCTGACAATAAATCGACAGCAGCATAGCTCCACACTCTGATGAACTCGCTCACATGTAACCCCACAATCCAACACGTTCTAAACGTCAGTCTCTTGATATTCACCCGGGCGGTTTATCTGTCGCTATCACATTCAAGTTTATAGTCAGGTTGGTGTACACTTTCCCGCTGACGCAGCATAACAGTTGCATAATCATGAAACTCTGGTTCTGTTCTGGCGTCTTTCATTTGCAATGCTGATTTACTATGTCCATCAATGTGCTCACCCATGATTTCTTATTCATTGATTTCGCCATTTATATTTCATCAATTATGTTCCTTCGATTTTCAAGTTTGACAGATAGCTTTTCAAAAGCTGCATTTCTTCTAACACTTCAGTGTTTCTTCGCACTTAGATCTCAATCAAACTTAAAATTGTGGAATGAAAAGTTAACTGTTATCGACTGTTTCTTTCCTGGAAAGCAATAAGTGACATGTATGTGTATGAAGGCCACGACTACCGAGAGACAAGTGTGAAAGATCAAGAGGCATTCGACAACATGATGGCTGGTAATTATGACAATTTGCTAACTTTTGAACGGTTAAATCGCAGCTTTTCACCATATCTTAAAATATTGAAATACTTTTTTACTGCAAAGCCTATGCAAAGCAAAAACAATGCCAACAACTCAAGAAGCTAAACTTGCTTTCGGTTGCGCCTCGAGCGACTCTAACGCTTCTCTTGTGCTCCACAAACTTCCCACGTACATCCATATCTCGATATACGTACGCTAAGCATGAACCAATCGTTAAATGTTGCTTATTGAAACTGTAATAACTTCTTACTTTAGACTAGTTTTCGTCTTAATCTTGAACATTTCTCTTAGCTGGTAAAAGTCCAACTTTAAGAATGACTAAACTTTTGTTCGAGTCCAATTTTGCAGACATATTAGAGGAATCCCAAACAGAAGAACGACTTCTCCGAAGCGAGAGAAAGGTTTTTGTAATTTTCTCAAATAAACTTTGTTCTATGATTTTCATCTTCTGGACCCGTATGGTCGAAGGTTGGATAACGCTATCCACTGGAGAAATCTCTATCCGATGGATAGCACAATAGGTTTTTCTATCACTTATCCACTGGAACGCGAATTATCCTTTGGGTAGCGTTATCCTTCCTTTGTACAACTGGGCCCAGAGCTGTACTTCTCAGTTCAGGTAATTGCTGTAAAACGGCAAACTGAAAAATTCAACTGTAAGTCGTAAAAAATTACAAATTTTAATCGTTAGTAGTTAAAAAAAGTTAACCGTAAGAAAATATTCTTTCCACGTTAACGGAAAGTTATTAACCATTAGCCGTTAAGTAACTAAAATTTGCACCTTTATTTGTAAAAGCCATCAGGCCATTGAGATCTTCTATTCTGTTATTGTTATTTCACGAGTAATGATGAGGATTGTCTCATTCTGTCTTGTCTTTATTATGGCATGATACTCGTAGTTATTTTCTACTGTTTTGGTTGTAGGGAACCGTAGCCCAGTATATTGACCTTCCCATGAGAAAGCGTAAAATTCTCTCGCCAGAGGAGTTGGAGGAGCGAAAGAGAAAGGTATTCTTCTTTTATCAGTAGTCACCAGCTGAAACAGTAAGACCTGTAACCGGTCAAACCAGTTAGACTAGAGTACAGGGTACTGATCCTAGTCAAACTTGTTCCCTTCAGACCAGTGGGCCTTTTAAGGACAACAGTCTCAGCGTAGATCACAGACAGAGCGAGATGCCTTAACATTAATGAAATAATTTTGCTTTTGAATTTACGCACGTTTGCAACAAATAGTTGAAAAAGCTACCATTAATCTTATTTTTTATAATTGTTAGTACTATCGTTATTGTAAGAGATAGACAACC